ATTTCAATGTTACCAATTTGTTTCTTTAACCTGTGAGAGATCTGTATAACGGCAGAGTGCACCTTCTAGAGAACTCTTTCAAGACCTTTTCAGACTGCCCATCTCATCTCTTACACCTTTCCCTTGCATGCTCAATTCCAAATATTTTTCTTGACCTTTTGGCCTGCAGCTTCTTGACACAAACTGCAGAGAAAATCTAGAGCTCTGGCTCCTGTTAACCGTAGACATGATGTAATCCTGCCTACATTACTTCACTATTTTTTTCAGTATATGCATGTATATACATATTCTGCTTAACTAGTCATCCGGGGAAGGATGTGAGATCATTTTGTAAGATTGGACCAGAACGGAATTTAAGGGTCGTTTTTATAAGCAATTGGGCAGCTGCAGTTAACTCCATATGAGGAAGCAGTCCCCAGACATTGTCTGAATTTTAAGTCCTTCAGGTGCAGTTTTGAATATCTATGTATATCTACATTTATAATATTTTAAAGGATAAGCAAACCAAATAAAATGAAAGATAAGATGGTACAGAAGTACTCAGTTACTGCAAGCACTTCTGGGCTTCCAAACACATCCATCCAGCCCAAGGGCACTACAAATCTGCACAGGTCGGAATGTTAAAAAATTATTAATATAACCTTTCATAGTAGAAACTACTCTTGGCTGTTATGAAATCAAGAAACTGGATTAAACTTTCAGAAGCTTTTTTAATTAGTGGATTTCAGAGAGAAATTCCATATTTTATAGCTATGGATGTTTATTGCATTCCTGTTACTCACACAGTTGCAGTACCTGGAGAAGGCAATTGGTTTCATCTTATTTCTCAAGGGGCAGGAAAGAAGGTTGAGAAGCCATCATGCATTACAGTCAATGTGGCCCTTCTCTGCTTCTAGTACCTGACTAGAATGCTTCTGAGAGCATTCATTTGTATAAGCAGTTCAGGAATTTGTCTAATGCCTGGACAAGTAATACTCTACGTATCCAAGTACTCTGCATGTGATACAGCTGATAGATATTAATTGGTTGCCAAGACACTGACCTTGTCAATACCCAGACAATTACATAATTTAATATTTAATATTTTATATTATTAATATATAATATATAATATATAATATATAATATATAATATATAATATATAATAACACATGCTTAATATAATTAATTATATTAAGCATATACACACATTTTCTGGGTTTTGTTTATCCAGTAGGATTTTGTTAGTGGTAAAAATGCAGTAATTCCTTTTTTCATTCTTCAGTGTCTTACTTTGCAGTCCAAGGTTCTACCAAAAGACAGTATTCCCATAAGAGTTTTTTCACCCTCTACCAAGTTTTTATGATATTTATAAAGGAGCTGTGAGATACTTTAAAAAAGGAGCTCTAATAAGCTTATTATGAAACAATTTTTACTTAAACAAAAATTATTTATGAGAAAATAAATTCATTTTTAACCCCTACAAATCTAATATACTGATCTATTACAGCTGTTGCTGAAATCAGCAGTTGTTACTGGTAAAAATCTCTACAGCTGTGTGTGGAATTCACTTTTTTTCAAACCCTCATATTAATTATAAACTCCGTGTAGGAAGTCCTAGGAGGTCTCACTGTATCTTTAATCTAGATTTCCTCATAGACTTATTTTCTTTATGGCAATTTTTAAGAATGTCTTAGTGAGGACATTACATTTTACAAAAGGTGTTTTAGCATGAGCCTAGGCAGAAATGATACACTTTATTCAAGCAAATTAAAAGAAGAAAGCAGAAATTTGCAAGTAATCTTAATTTCGCTGCACTTTTAAGTAAGAACCTCAGGAGTAAACAAGTTGTTTCAGTAGAGATGGCCTAAATCGAAAAGGCTCCATATGCTAATTTTAGAGGTGCTCAAAGTAACCAGACATAGTTTCAACAAGTCTATCATTAGCCTGGATTTGTTTCTCTTGGTTTCAACTGCCACTATTAATTTCTCAGCCTGTCAACTTTTATATAAAACAAGTTTTGTCATAAGAAAGTGTATTTTCACTATCTTTTTTCTCCACATACTTTGGGTAGTGGCTGTAAAGAGACTTTTTTCCTTAAGTCTATCTACTGTATTCTGTTCTAGTATTCATTCAACTTCTCTTCTGGAAGTACATGACAGTTACAGAGTCAAAACTTATTATTTTTAATATAAACATCTTGGTTCTATACTTCTTAATCAACAGTGCTTTAAAAGAAAATAAACTTTTAAAAGAGAAATCTATACAGGAATCCTGTCTCTATGTCATTTCTCATAAGAGTGAAATAAACCTTTTGACATTTTTTTTCAGATCCACTCTACTTTCTCTTATCCCCTCAGCTTTCCCTCATTTGTACATCTTCTTCATATACATATGGACATATGTATAAATTATTAATTTGCTGTACATTTTCTCTCGCAGTAAGGGTCAAGGAGCTGGAATTTATTTTCATTGTTTAACCTATGCTCCTCACAATATGTTCTTTCATTTCTAATTGTAATTCATCTATATACTGAACAGATAACATGCAGCATTATTCTGAGATTTCTGACAAGGATAAAAACCTTGTGTAAAAAAAAAAAACAAACACCAAAATGTCAGGAAGAAACACATCTCTGGAAGCTTACACAGAATGGAGTTGTTTTGAGAGCACAATTCAGGCTTCCTAGGAAGTTTCTCTGCTGCTGCTCTTTTGAGCTTTTAAGCTACTTGCATTGTTTCATGACATTATTGGATGTAACACAAAATTAATTTTGAGAAACTCTAGTCATAAGTACCATATATAACTTTATAAACAACAGTTGATGTAAATTGTATAATATTTGACATTTAAATTCTTGAAAAAGAGGAATTTTGAAAGAGTCTAATGATGAATTAATGAAATTAAATAATCCGATCTTCAAAATGTGTCAGTTATTGACCTCAAAGTCATGATCTTGGTACAGTTCATCTCTATACAATAGACTTAAGTAAATAAAATGGGTAAAATTAAATAACCAACTTCTCTATCTTTAGCCTCCATATGGAATCAATGTTTAGCTCTCATAATACCTTTAAATTTTATTTGAATTCCTTTTTAATTGAGGATTTCTTTGGTTTCTAAAAAGAGAAAGGGAAGGAATTAAAATCTGGTGGACCCCACATGCATGATTTGTAAGGCTTAAACCAATACATAAAACATTTTGTAGATGGATTGACCTTCACTATATTGATTTCTAGCATAAAATTCTAAAACTTATAAAGAATGACCTTTTCTTATTAAAATATAGAAATATTTAAAAAACTCTCAGTGTTAGACATTGCAAAATAAGGTGCTCATTATTGCATAAAAGTGGTGCTGCAGAAGTGTATGAGTACAATGTTAACAATTTCATATTACGTAAAGCATGTGCTGAAACATGGAAGAAACATACATTTCTCATTGTTAGTTGACAACATGGAAATAGTATAGCTGCATACAAATAACAGAATGATTTTCTGGCTTGTGCTCTGTAGAAGAAAGTGTCTTCTACAAAATTTGTGAAAATAGTGAGAGCCATTCTTAAATGTTACTTGATGATCTAATCAAAGTTCCTTTTAGAGTCTGAATTTTCTTTGACTTTCCTGACTCTTCCTGCAGTTCCATGAGTTTACAAACAACATAGGCAACCACAAATGAGTATAAGTATTCCATGTAATTCAAGTGCTACATATGAAGACACACGTTCACAATTTAATCCTAGAATTTCAAATATCCAACTACCTTCTCACACAGATGTTACCTCCATGATCTCTGCCTGTGAGCGTTGGTTGGTGTTTTTTTTAACTCAGAGCAATAACGTATTCTTAGTAAATATAATTCCCAGGATATCTCTGGGCTAGCACTACAGGTTCAGCCCTTAATCTTGCTAAGAAACTCATTTTCCTGAGGCTTCCAATGACATCGTGATTTCTCTGCACTGGAGACTTCTGTTACTTCTTATTCCTACAGTAGCACCTCTCTAAGGTGACATTGCGTAGTCCTCCCGTCACAGAAGGACTCAAAGTTTTCAGATATTAGAAAAAGCAGTTGGCAGCAGCTCATTTCTTCCATGGAGGGAGTCTAATATTTTTTATTGTTTTAATGGCTGGAAGAAGCTCTAGTTCCTCTGTGAGCAAAGAACAAATGTTTACATTATATTTGTGATTAACCACTAGACTCTTCTCCTTTTTCTCATTGTTGCTGATTAAGAGGAACATGTCAATACAGGGTATCTAAAAGTATATCTCCAAGAGAACTGTCCTAAAAGGCAAGGCTTTTCCCTTCCTACAGTTCTTTCTGCCTGTGATTGAATGAGACCACAGAGAGCATGAAGCTATCCTGGAACAGTGAAGTGAGTAAGCTTTAACTACATCCATCATTTCATGAAAGGGAAGTCTATATATGCGTGAAAAAGCTTGAGAAGTACAGGGGACACTTTCAAGGTGTGAATGTGTGCACAGGTGCTAAAAAAGCTGTATTTTTTTTCTGAAGCCTTGCAACACTGATGATTTACTCTTGGAGCAGGGAAAAGTGAAATCCAGACCAGTTGTTAAGAAGCCTGTGCTACATGGCTTTAGAATTTCACACCATCAATGCAAATAGTTGTAAAATTATTAATGCTTTTGAAAGATTTAATCTCTATTAAAAAAAAATAAAACAAAAAACAACAGAGGACTATGAGCTTACACAGACAACCTGAATATTTATGTATGCTATCTGAATATTCAGATTCACGTCCATTACCCTCATGCTCATTTCTATCTCAGATAGAGAAGTGGTTCCAAGATGATGTGAAAGAGGAGCTTCACCCAGGACAATAAGCAATATAGCTTTAATAACAGGCTTCTTGATAATATAGGTGTCTTTAAGAGTCATAATGGACACGGTGGGGATTAAAGTCTGTGTTGTTAAAACCAAACCATATATTGCAAAACTCCAGCTTCAAAAACATCAGCACTTAGCAAAACTAAGAGGAATTAAATAGCATGAGTTACCAACCTGTATTAAACCTGTAAGGAGTAGCACGTGGCAGGAAGCGGTTTGGTAAAGGAATCAGTCTGTTTCCATGAGGATGGCTGGAAAAAAAAAAGACAGTTACTCTCTTCTGTAAGCAATTAATCTAATAAAGAGATGGATTAGTTTTATGAATCGTAGAATCCTCTTACCACTCATTCATTACTCTAACTAGTGTGTATTAAAAATCAATTTCCACAAAATAGAAATTTTCCCACACTTTGAAAGTCAAAACAACATTTCGTTCCTAAAATTGGAATAATTTGATTTGCAGTGAAAAAGATTTTATGCCACTTTAGATTTATAAGTGAAACCAGCTGAATTAAATGAAATAAATTTGCAAGCACAGCAACTCAAAGTAATTACTTCAGTGTGGGTCGGCATGGCCACAGTGGTTGTCCTGTGTGTTGAGTCTTATCAGGTCCATGGGAATGGATTGCTGTACAAAGACCTTTCAAAGTCAAAGGGGCTCTGGAGTACACCCAAGCTGCTGATTTCTGGCCTTTACACATAGCAAAAATGTGAAGAAAGCTATGCCCACGTGTCTTAGAAGAAAAAGAAGAAGATATTTAGATTAGGAAACTGGTTGCAAGGGCTGATGAGCACAAATCAGAGGAGCAGATAGATAAACAGCACTTAATAAATTATGGAAGAGGCAAAGGAGCTTTTGGACAACTCAGATAGGCATTCAAGCTCTAGCTGGCTATAAATATGAACAAACTAGAGTTATGATCAATAAGGTTTCTCTAAGAAGTTTCAAATGGCAGTTTGACAATCTGTTCATCAAAAAAAGGGATTGATTACCACCATCCCCAAAATAATTTATATTATGCTCCTTTTTGCTATTACAGTATTGCTTAGATCTACATTTACTAATACAATGAAATTTAGTTTTAGTTTGGGTATTTAAAGGACAAATCTTACATTAAGATATAACTACTGTCAAATGTTTCACAAATGGAATGCCATATATACAGATCTATTTAATTCATTTCATGCAAATCTTGACCTCTCTGAAAAATATATGACTGACAAAACCTAAAAAATTGCAAAAATCATCTTTCTAAAGCATATTTAGTTACATGAGTTGGAAACATTAAAAACAGGTTTAAAAAGACATGCTGAAAAGCCAATGCTATAAAGATTTGAGTCTGCCTAACTGGTAGGTCTAGACTCATTAAATGTCAAAATACTGACTGTCTCTTATTTTCAGAACACAGAAATGTATATTTTTCATGTCACATATGCCAGTGGTGAAAAGCAATTCAATTCCAAGCTGGCATGATATTAAAAAGAACTGCTGCAAAAATTTCAGTAACAACAAACCCACTTCAGACCTAAGGGAAAGCCTGCAGAGAAGTGTCCTTACTGAAATTTAAAAAGAGAGGCTTTGAACTACAACATGGAAACAAATACGGACATTTTCTGTGAGCTCAAAAAAAGAAAAAAGAAAGAGAATAGATTATTCCAAAACGGAAATAAGGTCCTGGCACCTAAGCAATAAAAAGCTCACAGGACCAAATATGTTTAGTCTCTTCCCTTCATGTTTAGCTTCAGTTTTGACTAAGAAAATGTTATCCTTTCAGATCAATAAATCTTGGTAATGGCCTCTGCAGAAGTCAATTTCCACTTTATTCTATACAGTAGGGAACACAGTATGAGAGACTCAAAGATTTATAAAGCGTATTGTGGGGCTGGGAAGAACTGCAGGTTAAGTGCAGATCTTGCCTCCTGAAACTTCAAAAGAGAGTGAAAGAGAACTGAAGGAAAAATAGGGCCAAAATGAGGCACTGAATGAAAAGAATAATTTAGGATCTTTCTTTTTACACTGAAGGTCAAAAAGCCTAACACTGGTTCATTAGGAAAAAACCTGAAGTGAGTTTAAAGCTCTAATTGGTTTGGGTTTTTTTGGTTTGGTTTGGTTTGGTTTTTTTGTTTGTTTGTTTGTTTTTTTAGTAGGAGTTTTTATACACTGGGCAATACTCCCAAGGCTTGGTAGCTACCAACAGGCTGAAGACCAACAACCAGCCATGACTTAACCACATGAAATAAGGGCTTCACAATCTGGCTTCAGCTTAAATGGCACATGTCTACCTCCTCTGATTTATCAACCTCATCTTATATGATGTTTTCATGTGAGATGGAAAACAACACCACAGAACCACAGGGACGTGTAGTCTTGAGTCCCCATATGTATGGGGGAAATGGTCTTGTTGAGAGAGGATTTGCTGATAGTAAAATGCTTTTCAGTTAATCTTGGATGAGTAACTGTCCATGCAATTTTACTGCAGACTGCTTGACAGAATTCTGCCACAGCTGCAGTCAATGCAAACGGCATCCTCTCAGACACATTTGGAGCTGATGTCTGTGGCAGACCAGGAATGGTAAGCACTAAATCTGAGGCCACATGCTTTGCAGTGAGAAGAGACTTTCCTTGTGTAAATAGACGGTGTGCTACCCACACTCTGGATCAGAGAAAAGGTGCTGTGCATTTTATTTGCAAGTACAGGTAAGCTGCATGGCCAAAGAAGTATAGCATCAGATGGCTCAATGGGAGCTGCAGGAGAGCCTGCAGGCTTTAAACTGCGTGTTCTCAGAAGGAAACCACCTCTCTCCAGAAGACCACACAGAGAGTAGCCTCCTAAAATTGGCACCGTGAGAATCTGAAGGCAGTTTTGTGGAGATTTACTGAAAAGACAGTAAGGTAGGACTACACAGCTGAAGGTAGAGGTTTAGGTAGCTGGGATGTTGCAGATTAAAAGTAAAATAAAAATGTCAGACAAAATAAATTCTACCTGAGCTCACCTGAATGTTAACCCCTGTTAACATCGAAAGGTTAGTCCAGAGGATTAGTGATGGGCTCTTTTTTTGTTTCTGTTGGCCATAATGAATGGAACTAAGTGATCTTTAAGGTCTCTTCTAACCCAAAACATTCCATGTTTTTATGTTTCTATTTGATAATTTTCCATAAGCAGCAATGGAGCTTCTGGAAGATCTATATAGTTATCTGCACAGCTTGCTGGGGTTCTGCATGTCCCCCTACCCAGAGGTACGTGAACAGCAGTACATGAACCAGCACAGAGCTGACAATGCAGGTTGCCCATGAGGCAGCAGAAGGCCGAATAGGAATGAACAGGAAGATTTTGTTGGTTTCCCAGATAGTATCTGCTCTTGACTGTCCTGATATGTAGAAGAGAAATCTTTAATTTATTTCATTAAGCATACTATAAGACTTTAGGACTCACTGTGTAAGTGCACACATGAATAGTCCTGTTAAATTACTAGTATGTTCACATCTGTGCAAGCTTTATTCATATTATCAGGTTCTTTAAGCTGTATTTGCATAGAGTATTATAAAGAATATCTTTGCAATTCCCCAAAAAGAATATACGCACTTTCATTTCTAATTTGCGGACACAAAAAAATGGAGTGAAAGAAACAGTTATTTTACTTTTTTTTTTTTAATGTAAGAGCACTTCTTACTAATCCTAAATGCCTTTTGCAAAGACAAAAATTTAATTAACATTAAATTTTATCACTGTAATAAGATATGGATTACCATAAAGGTAACATAAAACATAGAATAGAATCATAGAATATCCTGAGTTGAAAGGTCCATTGGGTCCTGGCCTTGCACAGGACATCCCAACAATCCCACCCTGTCCCTGAGAGCATTGTCCAAATACTCCTTTACCTGTGCCACAGCACCTCTTTGGTGCCGTAACCACTTCTCTGGAGAGCCTGTTCAATGCCTGACCACCCTCTGGGGGAACAACCTCTTTCTAATATCAACTTAAACCTCTCCTGTCTTTTCCTCAGGTCACAGAGCTGTTAATAAGGCCTCCTGATGGTTCTACAGAATAGTTTTGCACAACATGCTTTAAAAGGCATATTTTTAGAAAAAACTCCAAGTATCCTGATGGGCAACCCAAGACAGAGGACAGTAAAGAACTTAGAGAAAATGTTGTTGTACTGTTTAGAAAGTAAACTAACACTTAAGTCCGGTTTCATTTCATTCTATCTTAATAACCATGATCCACTGATTAAACACTGCTACCAAATTAGGGCAATTATTTTCCTAATTCACAAAGTGTTTATGACAAGAATGTGTAAACAATGTTACCTAGAAAGTGGACAGGAGAACTTGCTTTAAAAAAAATACCTGGAGGATTGCTCAACTAATTTTATTCAAAAAGCAAGTTTTTCCTTTTCTATTGAAAGAGAAGCTTGGCAGACTGTTAGTAACTTTCAGAAAGTTATAAGCATTTGGAAATAACAAAATTAAAAAAAAAAAATAAATTCCAGTGTGCACTATAAATTCAACTCCTTTTTTTTAAATTAAAAATGTAGTTATAATAACAATTTTCACTGCTCATGAGATATAACAACTTGCTTAACACTAAGCAGTGAAGCAAGATATGATACAAGGTAAAACACAAATTCAGTTAGTTTTCAGAAATACTGTCTTACTGCTCTTGACATGTCACCATCATAGAGAGTAGACAAACCTAGAGAAAGGATTCAACAGAGAAGGACAAGGAAAAGAATAAAGGAAACAAAAACTGTAGCAGACTATAAAGAAGTAGGTGAGAGAGATATGCGGACACTAAATGATGGAAACATGAATTAATCTTCTATTCACTTACACTAATTAGAAAACTAATAAAATTTTCTAAATATGTAGGTCACATTCACTTTTACATTCACAGCCAGAAGTAGGACTGCATGTTAATTGAATTGATGATGTTATGAAAGGAAAATGTACCTTTGCAATTTTGTTTAAAACTGTACTGAAGTACACGTTTATTTCTACACAATGCATAAGCTGACAAGATCTAAGATTCCTTCTGTGGTATGAACCGAACTATGCATTATGTTCAGAGCTAAAGGTAGTCTCTTTTTTCAAAATCTTGTAGGCTATGCAAACGCAGATGAAAAAGGATAAAACATACAAAGATCGATATGATGGTGACTCATATCAGCTAGCTAGCATGTTTTTGGTGGAAGGAAAAGGTATAAAGGGGACTACTTAAATGGAACAGAAAAAATGAGAAAGGCAAAG